GATGTAAAATGTTTTTAGGATAATCTCAAAATCTATTTTTATATCTAATTATAAATTTTTAATTTAAAAAATGGTTAAATCAAGTAGATCTATAAATATATGAAAATCTTGAAAATGGACGGTGTAGATAATATGCTGTAAAATGCACTATTTTTTAGACTTAAAATCTTTTTATTTTTCATAGTCATACATCTCGATGTCGAGATAATTAATCAAAGGGTTTTTCAAAATTAAAACTACCTTTTTTCTGATGGTTTTTTGAGGGGCATCCGTAGTTCTACGTTATAAGGTAAGGTAGCATCCTTATATAAACGTTTTCCTTCTTATATTAATACAAAGTATAGTAGTACTTGTGGGTTACCGTTAACAAATAACAAGTTAAAAAAATTAAAAAAAAAAAAGGAAAAAAAGAAAAACAAAACTAACATAAAATATAAGAGAAGTAGCACCAAATATGGTTAAGAGCCCAGTTAATGGGCAGAAACATCACAATAAGCCTTGAGCCGTTTGCCTTGCTCAACATTAAAGCCGAAGAAATTGAACATAGAGAAGAAGCAAGAGGGATCAAGCTTCTCAAAGGCCACGCAGAATGCATTGCTAGGAGCGACACCATCAACAAAAATCGCATTTAACTCGTTGTTGAAGTCAATCATAGCTTCCCAACACATTTTGTAGATGGCAATCACATAGGGGGGCACCGCACCGAGCCCTTCCGCGGTGACAGGCCCCGCAGCCTTGTCGTTCTCATCCTCTGCATGCACGCGTGCTGCAGCCAACAGGCCGAGCATGCACAGGGTCATCAGAAGAAAAGGAGAGACTCTGTTTGAGCTCATCCTGAATCTTCTCTCTATCTATGATTTTATGTGAAGAGTTCCTTTTGCTCTGTGCTGAGGGGAGGCAGGGGACCCTATTTATAGGGTTCTTAAAAACTCTTGTATGTGGGCTTCATATACATAGTTTGCTTGGTAAGTGAGAGTATCAATTCTGGTGCAGTTTTGGTTCTTAACCCCTTTTGCGTGGGGTTGTTTGTTTATGAGAGGTTTCACACTTTAAAGTGAATTACTACTATAAGCTGCATTTATTGTTGTAGTAAAACATCTCTTAATCATTAAAATTTTAAAACTTCACGGATCATGATATGGACATGCTTTCTTTCTTCTTCTTTTTTTCTTTTTTTCTTTTTTTTTTTTTTTCGGGTAGGGTGTGCAGTAAACTAGTTCGATTGCCCATCAAACTTGTTGGATCATATTTTAAAAAAATATAACTAGAATGTGAATAATAATTTAAAATACTAAATATACTAGAAAAAATTATTTTAACTTCATTTAGGTGGTTGAATAAGTCAAAACGTGATGGTTCGATCAGCCAAAACTGATCAAACTATTTTTGACAAATTTTTTACAAAACCAAGTTTTTTACTTTAGACCAAACTGGCCAATATACCAATTGATGGTCTGGTTGATCGATCTTACTGGTCTGATCCGGTTCCTATGTTTTTTGTTTTTCTCCCCAACTTATATATCCATAATCTTTCTTTGTTTCCATGTATGAATAGTTCCAATCTAACATTGAAATTAGTGAATTTGTATTGTAAGTGATAATACTCCTTGAATAGGCGCAAGTGGTAAAATTGGGCTGCAATCTAAATCACATGATATATGTATATAGAAACTGGAATTTTAAATTACTACAGTATAAGTATGTAAATCACAGCAACACTATTTAGTAAATTATTTTAGACGAAAGAGTGATTTATGTACGGATCTTAAAATTTTAGGTAAAATACGAAATGCTCCCCCTTATGTACGAAAATTACAAAGGAAGTCAGTGACTTTTTTTTTATTTTGATCAAAATTTCTCTTCGGTCATCCCGAGTTTTTTAATCATTTTTAGCTTTTTCGTTAATGGGACAATGCCTTAAAGTTTGGGGCACTTCCCTACTAAAGAAAAAAATAAAAAAAAACTAAAAAATAAAATAAAATTCGGGTTGATTGAGGGGAAATTTTGAAAAAATAAAATAAAAATAAACCCCAGTCATCCGACCTTCTTTGTAATATCCACTTCTAAGTGAAACATTTTGTATTTTACCTAAAATTTTAAAGTCCGTACGTAAATCACTCTAGAATAAAATTGCTCATAGAAAATTCCAATCCCCAAGCGATGTTTGTCGCAAAATCCAATGAAAAAATATCGCTGCAATTCAATATTTTTGAGTGTTTTTTGATCTACTTAATTAGAACCATTTTTTAAATTTTAAAATTTTTTAATAGGGACAAAAATATTTTTTAAAGCTACCCTAATATGCTTATTTACATGGGTGTACTCCGGTTCGAGAGTTTGATACTCTCTTCTCAAAGCTGACAACCGATTACTAGAATCGACATTATTTTATATACATTGCAAATCCAAAGTGTTCGATAGAAGGCTTTAGAGCTCTTGGATCGAGTTTTAATTCTTAGGCTCCTATAGAGAGCAAATCAGGAAAGAGAGAGAGTAGAGAGAGAGAGGGGAGCTTTTAGTTATAAAGAAAGAAACTTTTTGGAGAGATGCAAACATCTCATGTGTAATCTCTTTATGTTTCTCTTGCTTTTACAATTTTATATGAAAAATATACCACGAGAAAATCTTATTCAAAAGAAGTTATCAAATATTCACTCAAATAAATTTATCTCCAATTGGAAATCCTATGTTCCATGGAATTCTTATAACTTTTCTCTCTACTTCTCAAATAAATATACATACACTTCATTTGGATAATTAGGAAGTCAATTTCATGTCCAAGGGTTTTGGCATGCCCCCAAATTATATTTATCATCATTATCATCAAAGCTTTTTTCTAACTAATTGGTCGGCTACATGAATCTTGATATGTCAATCTGATCTCTCTATACTACTTCTAACCATCTCTTTTTAAGTTTACCTCTTGTTTTTTTTTGTACCCTAAAGTACAGTACAAAATAGAATATATATATATATATATATATATATATATATATATATATAAACTAGTATTATTATTACACTACTATACAACAACTATATATAGTACGTACTACTACAACTAGTATACTACGACGAACGTACACGACGACACCGCCGAACCCG